GCCAACATTTGATTTGACCATTGCTGAGCGTTAAGCTGATCTTCTCAGACAACTATCAACAATTACCCCCCAATTTCTTTATTCCTGAGAGGTAATAGCTGATTTAGAACCCGCGACTGTATACGTATGATTAGCATAATTTTTCCAAGATGTGTTTCTTACTGACGTTAAATCACATCTGCCATTGTATCTCCTCATCGCATTGTGCTGTGAGATTTTTCCCTGGTTTCAGGCATGGCTGTTTGGGATAACTTTGCCTGTAAACGTTGTCACCTCACTACTCACTCCCTGGTTAGATTTTGTAATGACGTGTTGAACAACAAATCACCCGGTCCAGATCCATGAGGGATTCCATCTGTTATCCTCTTGCCTTGGGGAATGGACGTGAAACTGTTTATGCCTACCTTTGGTTTCTCAAAATTTTTAAACCAGTTATCTACAACAGAGGTTTCCTCTCCTATCCCACGAAACCTTACCCTCTCAGAATTTGACAGGGAATATTGGTGAATCTCCATGAACGTGTAAGTGAAAAATCCCAATTAAAAATATTTAATGATGGTTTAGCCTGTTTTTATAAGTAGAACTAAGATACGCTTATTTCTGGTGTGTTTTTTTTTTTCCTCTTTGCAGTGTTCCAAATATTGCTATGTATGCAATGTGAGCAACACACCCAATTATTTAATTAATTGTGCAACATTTTAAAATGGTGGGGGGCACACAATGGAAAAAAAGCACCATACATAAAAAAAAAATGTCCACAGGATGACCATTACTCACACGTTTAATTTCAATTAATATTAAATGTTAGTTTGAGTCCAATAACACTGAGCAGTTGAATAAGTTTGGCTTGGTTTTACCCACCCACTGTTCTGCCCGGCATTTCGCTTTGGCCTCTGTCCCTCGACCTCGAGAGATTATTCATTTCTGAATACATGAACTCAGGATAAACCGCTTAACTGACATTTTGAATCTATTAATACCATTCATTTTGTTTTGATAAGAGATGAATCAGGGCCAAGCCACCAACACCAAATTAACCAAATAAACTGGAATTTTTTTACTCGGTTTTCCTGCATGTCATTGCTGTTACAATGGACCGACATGTACTGTGATCTGAGCAACTCCAGGGTGAGAAAATCCCGGTCTCAAAGTTGCTAAATTTTGCAGTCATTTGAATGTGATGCTGTTAAAATCCTCAGCTCATGGGATCAAGACATTTGAGGAAGAAGCGTGGGGAGGGGAGGAGAAAACTGAGTAAATTTTTGCAGTTGGAGAAAAGTACAAAAAGCATCCTCTCTGAGTTTGCATGCTGCCCTTTGGGTTTCCTGAGACACAGAAGCTCGTCTTCCTGACAGCTGCAGTTGTGCTGACTTATGCAAGTCAACTGACCCATCCTTGCTGATCGCCCTCCTTCCCAAATCGACTGTCGACAGCTGAGACCAGCAGAAGAAGAGCTAAAAGCCCTCCCAGACTCAAGGTGCAGGCACTCATTGAAGTCGCATCTTGTCCAGGCCATCTGGTTGGGAAATCGGACTTCTCCCCCCGTTTCTGGGGTGTTTCATCCTGCAGGACCTCAGAGCTTGTCAGCACTGTTAGGGTGGCCATCAGAAGTGAGGAGCCTCTTCTGGGGGACATGGTGTCCATCTACAATGGAGGCTACACCATCTAAAATGATTGCCTTCAACACCTCATTCTTGTGCAGTGCCTGAATGCCTGCTGTATCAGTGCACATGTGGAGAATGTATTTGCCCCAAATCCTGGCCTTAACAAAAGCCAACTGGATTTGGGAGAGTTTCCCTTCTTTTTCCTGATTTTGACCTCAATGGCAACAATGGTATTAGGGAATTCAACAACAGTAAGGCCTTGAGGACCACTGACAAAGTCTGGTTGCATCCCCACTACTGAACTCTCTTAGACCCAGGAGAAGAGTTGCTTTATTCCAGCTGCCTCCTGGAAATCATCCACAGCCCATGCTAACTCCTCACCCACGCCTGGGAATTATTTGGAGGCGTGCAACTTGACCCACAGCAAAATTGTGCCGAGGACTGTGCTAACAGCGTGAGCGATTCCATCGATTTGAAGTTAATCACGTCTCAACGGGACTTTTTGCTTACTTCACACGCTGCGAGCGATTAATTACCTTCTTGAAGCAAGGCTTGCAAAACCACTTCTCGCAGGGTAGGAGGGCTTTCGTGGTGGCCGTTCAAAACGGTTCATCTCCCCCCATGATTTCTGGCGAGCCAAGAACTGTGAGACGAAGCCGTGGCTGAGCATTTTCTTCTGCAAGCAGCTGACTGCCGGGATTCAGGGCACCTGCCTTGCTCATCTCTGTTTTGCAGAGCGTGATTTCTTCCAACGTATAGGAAAAGCTTGAACTGGGTTGTTGGGAGGAGATGAAGTTCTCGCACGTTGTGGTGGGCAGGAGGTCGGTGGGCTGGAGCGTGTGCCTCTGCGCAGCCTCTGGTTGGGAGCAGATTATGCTCTCAACAAGCTGGAGGGGGAAAAACCTCCCAGATTTACAAGCAGCTACGAACCCTCGCCCGATCCAGAGCCGCCGCGGTAAACGTTGTGTGGTCAGGGGGTGGTCTGGGGAGAAGGGAAGTAGGTATCCGCAAAGAATAATTTATGTGCTTGCTGTTGTTAAGTGAAATAATCCCAGCTTTTTTTCTTTTCTTTTTTTCAGTGAGCTGGTTATTGCAATGTGCCTGTTCCAGCCACTGACACAAAAGCTGGTGGTCTGATCCTAACGCCCTTTTTAATGCAATTTTACCAGTTCTCCCATGCGGAAGCGTACTGGACGCTGAGCAGGACATTGGGAGGTGCTTGAAAAGATTATCCGCAAAGCCACGTACGGCGAAGCAAATCATGACGTCGGGAAAGCTTTCTGCAACGCGGTTATTCGCAGCGTCTTGCACGAGCAGGGGGACCCAGGAAAGCTCCGTGGAGGCGGTGGCATTCGTCACGTCAGCGTCCACGGAGGAAACTCTGATCCCACGCACGTCCTGCAGCTCTCGGCCGCCGCTGTGCCGTTTCTAAGTTGCGAGGGAGATGGTGATACGCGGCTGTGATTCCTGGTTATGCAATTTCAGCCGTTTGCAATTTTGCTTCCATCCAAGTGCCCTCTGGGCTCTTTTCCACATTATAAACAAAACAGCCTGCAACATTTCATGCAGAAGGCAGAACGCGGTGCCCTGGACGCTTGCTCTGTGCTGCACTTCTGCTTTTTGTTTGTAGGGCATGCTTTTCAGCGGAGGTATCTTAGAGGAAATAAAATGCAAGGAGTCAGCACGTTTTAAAAAGAAAGCGTATGCTTTTTTGGGGGGTTTCATTTCAAAATTTAAAAGGGAGTTCGGCTCCTTGTCCATATATAGTGCAATAAAGGGCTCCCCAGCTGTTTACGCTTCACGGCACGGCTGCGAGGAGCGTTCAACGGCAGCCTGGCCGCGCTCGGGATTTCCAATTGTAATACAAAAAAGGAAACAGGAAAGAACGATGTAAACATTGGTAATGAAGTCCGTGCTCGTGGTGGGCTCCGAACATCACCGCCAGCGCCCCGGGCCCGCTCCTCCTCTCTCCCTGCTTTTTGGAGGGGGCTGTGGAAGGAGGATAGGCAGGCGCTGGCAGAGGTTTGCAGAGACCTTGGCCAGGTTGCAAATCTCCCGATTGCCTCCACTGCCTCTCTCTTGCTTCCAGCTGTTGGCCCTCAGCCCCTACTTGATGCAACAAGCTGCTAGGGGAGAAAAAAAAGGGGGGGAAATTATTTTTTTTTGCGTGTGATGCGTCACCGTTACCTGAAAAATCAATGTCAGGGTGCTTTTTTCGGGCACCACGTGAATAAGGCCCATGGAGACACCCCACTCGCATGTTAAAAAATTGCTTTTTCTAATGCAAGTAGGAAAAAGTTTGGAAATGTGATGCGAGTGCTCCCTGATGGTCTGAAAAAACAGTGTTTGATGGACACCGCATGGGCCACGTAAAAGCAAAACCTCCAAAGCCAGCACCTGCTCTGGCAAGGGGGCTCTTCTCTTGCAGGTCACCGACTGAGCCCCGTCGGCAAAAGCTCATTTGGGGAGCAATCACCTTAAAATCATCCAGGGACCCCTGGGCTCCCCCTTCTCTTTCCTTCCAGTTTTCTGTAACCGTGTAATTATTTTCCTATATGATAACGGGACTGTGCCTGGTTATCCTTCATCCCGCAGGCACCCCTTATCGGCAGCACCCGCACCCTGTGTCGGTGTGCCTGCGCTGCCGCGGCACCTCCTTGTTCCCCAAATTACAAGCGGACAACCTCTTTGGTGTATTTTATCCCAAATCTGCCGTGCGCGACTCGGGGAACTCGCCCAGCCAAACCTGGGCAAGGCTCCCCGCTCCGTCCCTGCCAAGCGCTCGGCAGCCAGCGCCGGCTCGTCTCAACAAGCTGCCGACGGAGCCGGGAAGGGGGAACGAAGGGAGCAAAGCCACTTGGCTCCCGGCTCCCGCTCCAGCGGCTGCTGGGACGCCCACGGGGAAGCGGAGCCCGCTCTTGCATTAAAGAGCTCGTCCCAAACCCCACATTTCCAAATCGTGGGCTGCCAGGCAACGTAAGTGCCCCGGCCGTGTTTCGCTGGAGAAAATGGTGCTTCCAGCCGTTCGCTGCAGCTCCTGGCTTTCGTGGAAATGTTGAAACCCAGCGATAAACCAGCTTTTTTTGCGGTGCATACGCCTCTTAAGAGTGTTTAGGAAAGAGGTGGGTGCATCAAAGAGCTCACAGCCCCTCTCCGGCTCTCGCCAGAGAAGACGTTGGCTTGGTGCTGGAGTCGCAGGGACTTCTCCGGGAGACAAGCCCGGCTGCCGGAGCAGACCCGCGGGCTCCAGCCTCCCCTTCTCTTCTCCGTCTGAGTGAGGAGAAGCCAAGAGGGGAAGAGACGCTCTCGAGGTTTCCTTTTCTGCTCTTTGCCACCTTCTACTTTCTTTTTTTAAACTCTGGCCTGCTTGCCTTTTTTTTTTTTTTTTTCTTTCCCCTTTCCTTTGGCTTGCTCGTTTTTAACCCTTTGCTTTCACTCCCAGCGCTGCTCTTGCCTTGCGGTCCACATGGTTTCAGCAATCTCCAGGTCTATACAGAGTACTCAGTCAAGTGCACCGGGCACGGGCTCTGTCTTGCATCTGAGCTTGGCTAATTTTGGAGGCTGAGTGGATCCAAGCCGGTGAGATACAGAGCTCCTAGGAAAAAAGCCAGGGCACTCACGCTGAGGAGCCTGGCTCTTCACCATGGGTCAGACCACTGGGTGCAAGCTGGAGCTTCTCCGCTGCATCTCAGCAGGCAGTTTTGAGGAAGACTGTCTTGTTTGGAGAATGTGATGAAGACAATCAGCTCCTCTGCAAGAAAAAGCTGTGTCAGCTCCGGTATGAGGGGGAAACAGAGATCCGCACAGACTGTCACTGGTGAGGAGGAAGGAGGCCCAGGAGGAATGTGACAGAGGTCTATAAGCTGGTGAGTGGCTCGGAGACAGTAAATTTTCCTTTACTGGAAGGGATAATAAGTGAAACTGGTTTGTAGCGACTTCAAAACCAAGAGGAGCCTTTCATCTCAGTCCCCTGCGGAGCTGCGAGACTCCTTGCCGCAGGATGCTCCGGGTGCTAAAGGTTCGCATGGCTCCAGAAACTCACGGGACAGACAGATGGAAGACAAGTCCACCAGGGGCTCCTAAATACAAAGACATTACTTCTGGCTCGCAAAGTTACCGACCTGCAGGTTGCTGAAGGCTTCAAGACCCTTCATGGGGGATGTCAGCAAAGGCTTGTCCTGTCCTGGATCTCCTCCCTTCCAAAAGGTCCCAGGGCTGGGAGCACCCTACGGAGATCTTCCATCTGAGCTGGGGGAGAGGGGTTGGAGCTGTCTGGCTGGACGCACATGGCACGGGCAGGATTCGTCCTCTCCTGGGGCTTGCTGACAGCAGATGAGATCTCGGTGCCGCTCCCTGAGTGGGTTTTTAGGATCACAGACATTTCTTCTTGGGCCTGCCGGTGTTGTTCTCGACCTGCCCTTCCCCGCAGTCCCAAGCTTCTCACCCAGCCAACCCTCCTTCTTTCACTCTGCTTCATTTAAAATAGATAATTAATAATTAACGGGCCTGTCCTTTGAGTGGCAGGTAAAGAAAATCCCTAACACCTGCCTTACGGTTGTCTGTCACCCTGGAGTCTCTATGTTTTTCCAGCGAGCTGCTCTCCACGAGCAGAATGCTGGCGTTTCGGGGTGACCTTCTGACCGCCCCAGGGCTTTCCTCCACCAGCCTGTCCTACTGCAATGCATCTCTTGGCCACAATATTTGTGAAATATTGTGAATATTTCAGAAGCTGCCTGCCTTTTTGCACCTGCAGGGTCTTCCTTCTGAGCCCAGGTGTGCCGGTGGGTCACCAGCCCCCTGCAGCATCTCACCACCTTCTCCGACCTCCATCCTCTTGTACCCATCTTGCAGCACACATCAACGTGCTCCAGCCGCTGAAGGTGGACTGGGAGGCAACTTCACCCCAGTCTGGGAATTTTGGGAGACAGAAAGGTGATAGGAAAGGAGGTAGGAGTTGGTTCGTTTGATCTCTTTCTGCTTGTTTTCCACTTAATTAATGTTTTATCCTTTTTTTTATGAAAGATGCTTTGGTTGGCCAAGGAGAGAAGGTTGGCCTTCTCCTTTTTCAGTGGAGAAGGAAGGTCCTGAGTTATTTCCCGTCCCCATTCAACTACAGATCAGGAACATCACCATCCCCTTCTCTGGGGCTTCAGTGGCAACTCCAACAATGTCCAGAGAAGCAAAGATGCCTCTTTTAGATATGTTAAATCTAACCCCAAATAATTCTGGCAGAACTGGATGAAAGGAATCCCCTTTGATAAAGATTTACCCTTCCGATTGATGGGCAAGCTTGCAAATGCTCTAACCCCACTCCTTTATTTTTACAACACCTGCAAAGATGTCATAAATCAACTGATGAGTTAATATTTATTAAGGGACAGGGAGCATGCCAACACACCCCTTCTGAGATAGCCGGGGCAAACCAGGCTCAAACCAAGAAAATCTTCAGTCTTTTCAAATCTTCACACGTCATCCTCCTAAAAATTTAGTGTTTTCCCTTATGCCACTAAAATCGCTTGCAGCAACACAGGTGCGAGGGGTTTGGGGTCAGACCTGACCCAACGCTGGGGCAGCAGCCAGGGGCCTTTACGCATCCCCTTGGCCCCGCACTGGGTTTTTTGCTGCTTATTGAAATGGTGTTTCCCGTGGATTTCCACCAGCAGCTCCAGACCTCGTCTCTTTAGGGGCATTTCAAGCAATATGGGAGAGCAAACTGTCACCTTACTCCTTGCTGGCAGCGCTGGGATGCAGGTTGGGACCTTCGTACCTGCGGTGGAGGAGCGGGGTGGGTGCTGCAGGTGACAGCAAAGCCGTAAGGAGAGAAACCTGCTGGGGAAGACACTATTTTTTCTTTTAATCTCAATTTTTAATGTTTCTATATAGGGTCGCAGATGGTGTGGAGTGGTACCTGGCCGCATACCTGCCCTGCCGCTTGCCTGCGGAGATGCCGCTCCAGCTCGGGTGGGATGCTACCAACAGCACCTATGGAAGGCAGGTGAGCATATAGGAAGGCAGGTGAATATATAGGAAGGTGATTGGGCATATAGGAAGGCAGATGGACATATAGGAAGGCAGATGATTGCGTAGGAAGGCAGGTGGGCATATAGGAAGGCAGGTGAGTGTATAGGAAGGTGGATGAGTGTATAGGAAGGCAGGTGAGTGTATAGGAAAGCAGGTGAGCATATAGACCCCGCCAGCCCCCACCACGCCAGGGGGGGTCAGTTATCTGTAGCCCCCGAGTGACAGCATCTCCTTCCATCAATGACAGCCGGTGCTTGCAAGGGGGTGGTGGGTCTGTGGGGCAGGGGCGAGACCCAGGCGAGCAGAAACCTCTAACTGCCCATGGCTCCGAGCCACCCAAACCTCGCCTCACCAAACGCGGCTGTGCCGGCACAGCCGTGCCGGGGCTGTGCCGAGATGACTCACCCTGCCGCTTGCAGCAGCACACTTCCAACTAGCAACAAGTGAAAATAGAAATGTCCCCAGCTCCTGAGCCAGGAATAACATCGCAGGCTATTTTTTTTTTTTTGGTGTTTTTTTCCCTTTAAAGTGAAATCCCCCTTTTTTTTTTTTAATTCTCTCTGACTCAGCCCCAGTAAAGCCACCGCGTAGCGGCAAAGTCTCCTCCCCAGCTTCTCCGCTGTGGCCCACGGCACGTCAGCCACCAGCATCAGTGTCGGTGGGGGCTGATGCGGGAGGGGAGAAGCAAAGCCTGGCGAGGCGGGTCTGGGGGGACGATGCCACGTCCCGGTGGGACACGGCTTGGTGTTTTGCTGGGATGCAGAGCTCTTGAGCAAAAAGGGGAGAAGGGGGAGCGCTTGGGGTTGTAGCCCAGGCTGCTTTGGAGGTTTATATGATGAGAGAAGGAGGGAGGAGAGGATGGACGACTGCTGGGATGGAAAGCTGGGAGATGGGAGCAGCCAGACCCTCCTGCCTTGGTGGTGGGACAGGGACGACGGGTCTCCTCGGCAATGCCCGCTTTGGGATGAGGATCTGCTGGCGGCCACCGTCAAACGGCAAAGGAGAGGTGATGGAAAGGGGGGAAGAGGGGGAGATGGGGCCATGCCGGTCCCCGTGGAGCCGCCTGGGGCTGGTGGGTGGTGGCAGCCGTAGCAGAGGTACAGGGGCATCCCGGGAGCAGGCACAACAGCGTTATCTCAGCCACCCCACGTAACCGCTGCTCCCATTATACGCTGCCCTCCAGGCCTCCCCCCGGGCCCTGCCAGCCTTTTGCAGAGCAGATAAGCTGAGTCCCATCGCTCTATCAGGCCAGCCCACACCTAGGATCCAGCAAAATGTGGCTGCTGTCCCCCCCCGCCCAAGCCCCAGCCATGGGATGCTTGTGCCCCCAGCAGAACCCATCCAAACCACCCCAGGGATGAACCAGGGTGCAGCACGCCCATTAAAAATTATTAAAATAGCAATTAAGGACTATTTACACAGCTCCCAATCCATAAACTCTCACTCGCAGGAAGCAAGACCATGCTACAGGTGATTTTTCCCAGGGGATCTGAGCAGGATGATGTGTGGAAGTCATTTCTGGATTTTTTTTGGTGCTTCTCCAAAAAATAATCACGCATTTTTCTTCTGTGTTTTTTCCTCGGCCAACCCCACTTGGGGGGTCACCCCACCGCCTGCTCCCCATGGGCCCCCCAGCAGTGAAGATGTCCCAGAGGGACACTCAGGGACCCCCATGCTGGATGCCGGAGGATAACCTGGGCCACCTACACTTAATTTCAGAGCTGGGAAGGGAGCAGGCAGCTCTCCATGGCCGCTGCCCGTGCCTGCCTGCGCTCCTGCCTGCAGCCGGGAAAACCCTCCATCGAACTTGCACGAACCGGCTGGGCTTGAGGCAGCTCCAAAACATCTCCAGGGCATCCTATGCCACATCGAAATGCTTTTCTGGCAGCGATGGAGGTGTTTCTTCTTGGGGTTTGGGGGGGCCAGCAGGCTGCCGGGGCTGCAGTACCCGGGGAGGCTTGCACACTTGGGCGTACACGGGACCGGGGTTCCCCTCGCTGCCCGGTTCCTCCTGGGCGATGATCTCCTGCACCAGGATGCTCAGCTCGTCCCCGGTGGGCAGGGATGAGGAATCCCCCGGGACGCTGCTGGTATCCCAAGGCTTTTTCAGCGTCCCAGCTTTGTACTGGATGCTTTCGTAGATGGGTCCCTCGGCATCCGACGCAGGGTCCGTCACGGGTGTGCCGGCATCCCCGGGCACAACTGGCAGCTGCCGGTGCCGCAGAAACTCAGGGTTCCTCGGGGCTGGTCTGGAAAGTGCGTGGGAATGGGGTGTCCAGCCCGGTACGTGCAGCTTGGGGTCCCCCGCTGTGCGGTTATCCGGGTCCCCCAGCACCGTGGGGCCGTCCGCCTGCTGCCGGGGCTCACCGGGAGAGGGGGAGCCTGCAGGGAGGGAGAAGAAGGGATGCTGAGCCGGGGAGGGTACCCCCCAACACCATCATATTGCGAGGAGCATTCCCGGCTAACGCAAGGGTAAAGTAGCACCGAGTAAATGGGATTAAATGGGTCCCACTCCCACTTCCGTCCCCGCTCTCCACTTTTCGCAAGAAAGATAATAAAAAGCAAAGAAAAAACAGGGTGAGGATCCCCGGGTTGCTGGCAGAGGGCTGTGCTCTCCCCCGCGGGGCCAGTGCGGCGTCGGGACCTGCCGTCCGCCTTCCCGTGCGGCGGCTCATGCCTTCGGTCAAATATTTGTTTAAGAAGGAGGCTCTGCTCTGCGTGCAGGATCTGTCAACACGGGGGAGCTGGCAGGGCAGGACGCCCAGCCGGTTTGTTCGCTCCAGAGGTGAAGGAGAATCTGGAAAAGCTGTGTAACCGGGTGTTTTTCCTCCTGCTTTAAATATGCAAGGAGATGGTGGTCCCATGGGATTTGGGGTGCAGGATCAATTTTGGGTGTTCCCCCCCCAGCTGCGGTGCAGAGTGCATGCATGCAGCACAGAGGTGGAGGTGCGGGCTGCTGGCTGGTGCAGGAGGTTGCAGGGTGGGATCCAGGCTGGAGTCCCTCGGGGCCAGCGCAGCCTCCTCAGCACTCTGCAACTCCAGCCTGGCAGAAAGCAGCCCCTGGCCTGCGAACCCCCCAGTTTGAGCACCCCAACATGAGCCCCCCAGCATGAGCACCCCCCCAATGTGATCACCCCCAATGTGGGCACCCCAACATGAGGACTCTGTTAGCATCCCAGCATGAGCATCCCAATGTGAGCACCCCCAGTGTGAGCCCCCCAGCATGAGCACCCGCAATGTGAGCACCCCAGCACACGAGTTCCAATGTGAACATCCCCAGTGTGAGCACCCCAGCCTAAGCCCCCCAGCATGAGTCCCCCAACATGAGCACCCCAATGTGAGCACCCCAATGCGAGTCCCC